ACGTATAATAAAAATCTCTAAAAATGACCAACTGAAGCTTTGAAGACCAGACATCCAGTTTATCTTATTTGCACATTAGTAGATATGTGTAAACAGTTCCAGTTAGTTCCGTTTATATTGTTCCTGTACCAAAGTGACCCAAAGCTCCACATTCTTCCGTAATGCGTTGTATAATAATATTCCTGTTTAATTGGTTTGCAACTTAATGTATTATGTATGTGTTCATCATTTCCCACTTATTTATGCTTTGAATTAAATAATTATAGACAAAATAAAATTCAGTTCAGTTCAGAGCCACAAACACTAATATTTAATTCTGAAATGACTTGTGAAAAGACATTTAAACCTCTTTCCACAATCTCAAGAAATAAGAATAATTCTTAATAGCAATTCTCTAGATGTTTTGAGCTGACAATGTATCATCCCAGTGTATAATCCGCATTCACCACCATTTGCCTTCTAGGGACTCCAGTTATTAAAGGGCAATGCCACCATTTCACAGTTATTATCCTGACAGTTATTCAGCACACTCATCAATACCTCCACCCCATCAACCTTACACCACTGTCAGCCACCCAAACAGAAACAAAGACAGAGGTAGAGAGACATAGACTGAAGTGAGCATCAGCAGAGAGAGAGCGGACTAAATAGGTCTTTTTGCAGGCGGTCAGAGAGTGAGAGAGGATGAGAGGAAGAGAACGGGGGGTTGGAGACAGAAAGTGATCTAAGGGCTCTAATTGCAGGATAGAGGAAGATGGGGCTTTGAAAGAGAGGGAAAAGATACACTGTAAAAACAAGTTGTCTCAAGTACTAACTACTTTTAACATTCCCTGAGTCAACTTATTCTAACTGAAAATAAACTGGATGTTGAATGAAGCGTGCTTGTGAACAGTGAAAGACTATCTGAACCACTTTATCTGGAGGTAAAAGCAGACACTTCAGCACTTTCTGTCCACACGAGTACCCTTACTTCTTAGTTTGTACCGCACTCTACACACCAGGCATTCCGCGAAGACTCGCCCTGCTCTCTGATTGCCTATTGTTGAATGCTTTGATAGGTGAGGTTTAGGCATGATGAGTGAGATGGTTAGGGCTTTAAAACAAATGTCAGGGTCAGAGCCAATCAGAGGCAGAATATGGGCGGGTCTATACTGAATACAGGTGGGGGGAAAAATAAAGCCCACGTAACTGCGCCACTGTGTAAACATATAGCTAGCTTAACGCTGGTAAAACAGTGCTGAAAGTGTCCTTGTTAAAGTGGATAAAAAATGCAGAGAAAGATGATAGTAAAATAGATAATCACATCTTAGCTTAGCTAATGTTAGCAAAATACTATACTACTACATTCATCTTTAGCTAGCATTTTTTTCTCTAGTTAGCTAATTAGCTAGGCTTTTGCAAACATTAGCTTTCAGATACTAGCTTGCTAATGATTGTCAGTACATAAGTGTCTGTCGAGTGTGGCAAATTGTAGTGCACTGCGAGTACACAGATGTTGCACTCATAACGGTCAAAAAGTTTAATGTGGAACACTTCTCCAGGGTGCCCAGGTGGTCATAATGGTGCCCAGTTGTAAATTGGGCTCCGCTGTCAATCATGACATGAAACCCCCTTTTTATAGCTTCAAGTAACTAATTAAAACATAAAAATTAACACTTTAACATACATCAGTGTGATAAGAACTACCTAAAATGACAGAAACCATCTTTGGGAAAAATGCATTTGACGTGTATTTTGATTTTTTAGTTTGGCCCATCTAACATTGCAGCAACAGGCTTTATGATCTCTGCTGCAGTCAGCCACCAGGGGGCGATCAAGATGTTTTGGCATCACTTTTGGAGAGCTGTCATGTTATCCATCTTTTATATGTTGATTACGTCGATTAGCTAGATGGTTAGCTAGTGTTTTGTAACATTAGCTAACTTAAGATGTGACTATATGTCACATTTACGTTTTTTGACCCAAATCAGATTTTTTTGCTCATATGTGACTCAGATTGGATTTTTTCATGACAGTGTGAACAGGAAAAATAACATGGAATCTGATATTTTTAATTCTGATTTGCATATCAGATTCAGGTCAGATTTGACCTGTGCAATATGATGTGAACAGTCATATCAGAATTTATGATCGACATTCGTCATGTGGGTCACACTGGAATCTGATATAGCTGTTCATATTTTTAAAATAATGTGAACAGCCAAACAAAAAAAACAGATTTGAGCAAAAAATTTGATTTGAACGCTAAGGCAAAAGAAGCAGGGCAGGAAGCTTTGTCAACTGTTATTGCAGCACAGTGCAAAAAGGTGTGGGACTTAGGAAGGATCAATTAAAATTAGTTGTTTTAATGAAATTGATCATAAGATTTTACAGTGTATGAACAGGATAGGGGTGGGGTTCTGGGATGGTGGGGTGCTTGGTAGAAAGTGATCTAAACCGCTTTAATTGTATTGTTGTATCCCAGCACGTCTCTGTGTGTCTGTCACATCAATATTCTACCAACCCCTCATTTAAACATCAGCTGTCACACACTCCCACCTCCCCACTACACACACGCAGCCCTCCACCCCAGTGAGTCAGTGAGTGAATGTCAGTAGAAACCGTCCTACGCCACTGACCACTGTGGCTGATCATAAGGACGCTGCGGATTAGAAATAATTAGTGGACAGTTCCCCCCCTTCTTTCTTGTCAGACCCTAACTTTCTCTACCCTCCACCCTTCTTCTTCACTTCCTTGCTGCAAGGAGGACAGATATGGATGGATGGATGGATAGATTGGGGGGGGGGGATAATAGATGAGAGATGATCATCACTCGGAGCTTCTGTCAGCTGTGACCTTTGCAGGCTGAGTGACCAGAGTGAGAGCAGAGTCATTACCAGCCGTTATCCCTTTGTGTGTCTGTCGCAGCCCCGCAGAGAGGAGAATAGCTCTGCCATTTATGGCACCGCTTCTCAACCTGGGGGTCAGAACCCCTAAGCGGGCACAGGATAATTTTTCAGGGTCATAGTTTTTTATTATACAAATTATTTGCTTTTTTCCTCTTTTTTTGTTGTGTCTTGTTGCATTCACACCACCTTCTGTGATAATTAATCACATGAAACAGCATGAAAAAGCTCACCACTGTAGATACGATCCAGAGGAAAATGTTTGAGATTTGGTATATTATTGCTGACGACTGGTATTGCAGTGTTGTCCTAGCAGTAACTTTTAAGATTTAAGTAACAAATGTTCACATCATGCTTGATACACATACACAGTGTTATTGCATACCTTGACATAAAAAAGAATTAGTAAATAATCAGATTTAATAAACTTTCTGAAGGATTTTATGGGTCCAAACGTCACTTTTGTCCCACAACTGTGGAGAACTGTGAATTATCTGTTATGTTCTATGTGTAGTCTGAAGGAATTACAACTTTAATTTCTTTGTGCATCCTTGTGTTTTACCTTGAACCTTAATATGTTATGTTGGGTTGCTGTTGAATTATTGTGTATGTAGATGCTAAGATTAAAAGCTAAGCAGCTTTAGTTATAAAGATCTTGAGTCTCTGTGGAGCCAATTTTGAGGCGAGTTGTATGTAAAAAATAAAAATAAACATGTTCTAGATTCAATTCTTAACAACTACATGTCATTTTATGTACCTGTTTATATGTATTACAGACACTGATAGTTAAAATTAATTATTCATAGAGGGTGAGGTATTTAATTTGGAGTCAAAAGGGACAGTAGTTGCAGTTAATAATAATGATAATATGCTGTTTGAAGGGAAGGTTTAAGTTACTTGATGTTACAGAAACTCATTTATAATATTAGTATCATAGGAATCCATTTAAAAATGTTGTTTTAGGATATATCAGGATTTACTTTACATTTATATTTATAGAATTTGGGGAGTTTGTATGGAATTAAAGTAGACCAGTGGTTCTCAAACTGTGGGGCATAAAGCCACTGCAGCCGGGGGGGTGTGGGGAAAAATATGGAGTGAAACAAGGCAGCGTTCGGTGCAGGCCAAAAGTGACCCAAGTCGCATTTTTTTGCTCATATGTGACTCAGATCCTATTTAATGACAGTGCCACTTTCATATGTGTATCATATCAGAATGCATGTGACTTTTATGTCACTCTAGATCTACATTCATCATGCGGGTCAATTCAGAACTGTGACCTGTTCACACTGGAATCTGATACGGGCCACATTAAGAACATGAAGTCAACCACCTAAACAAAAGAAATTCGATCTGAGCAATAAATTAGAATTGAGCACTATTGGTTGCAGTGTAAACGTAGCCTAAGTTGAAGGAATATGATTTATGTAGGGGAAATAACAAACACAAGTTTGCTATTGCTATGGTGCTGGCCTTTATTTTACTAAAATTAAACTTAGAAACTTTTATTAGTTGTTTACCCTATTATTGATAAATGATAGACGTGTGGTGGGAAGGTGTGAACTTGACCTATAAAGGGGGGCCCGCCAGAAAAATTTTGAGAACCACTGATCAACAATGTTTTTCCTCTGATGGGTCTTTTTTACGAACAGCGGTTGTTTTTTAACAGCTTAAACTGTTCCGGTTTAAGCAACATATTTTTTAACCTTTCTGAGCATTTCGACTAAAAATAAATATGTTCAGAACCTGAAAAGATGATCACGCTTTCCTTGGGAACCAAAGTGGGTGTGTTATATCCTGCAGGTTGTTGAGTTCTTGAGCAGTGCCCTCTGTTGATGATGCATCCAATTACAATGGTTCCACTCAAAACTGCTGGAAACGTTTGAAAGATAGCACCAAGTTTCAAGAATCTTGAACGGAACCGGTTCAAGAACCAGAGCAAATATGGAACCAGATCCGTTCCGGTCCAAGCACCTAGTCATGAACCGTTCAGAGCATTTTGACCAAAA